AGAGTAGTATCTTGGGAGGCATTTGATTTAGTGAATAACATGATAAAAATGGTGATTTCTGGTATGAAATCTGGGTTGCTCCAGTAAGAGCAGGAGGAAGCAAAGGTGGGAACAGCAAAATTTTGTGCTTATGATTTTCCTCTTGTTTGTCCTTCAAGCCATTACTGCATCAAATATTTTTTCTGTGATAAATATATTTTATTATGTCCCTCACCTTATATTTATTTATTTTGTAAATAATTTTTTTAATTATTTCAAAAATAGACTTTACTTTTCTTAAGTGTAGTTTTAGGTTCATAGACAATAAAATTGAACAGAAAGTACAGAGAATTTTGATATACTTCCTTCCTCCAACAGCCTCCCATACTATCAACATCCTCCACCAAGTGATACAAATATTATGGTTGTTGGACCTTCACTGACAAATTATTATCACCCAAAAGTGATAATGTACTTAAGGGTGCACTCTTGGTTTTTGTTATGGGTTTTGACAATATGTAATGACATGTATCCAACATTAAAATATCATACAAAATAGCTTTATTGCCCTAAAGTTCTCTGTGATCCAACTAGTCATTCCTCTTTCCCCTCAACCTTTACAAAACTGATATTTTTACTGTCTTCACAGTTTTGCCTTTTCAAGAATGCCATATAGCTGGAATCTCTCAGGGAGTAGCCTTTTCAGATTTTCTTTTTTTGATAAATCTTCTTCATTCTTAACCTCACACTACCCCCAAAGGAAACAACCAAACCCCTCTTAAGAATCCATAGATAAAGGGATGATTTTCAGATCATCTGGTTAAGTAGTAAGTATGACTTGGACACAATAATAAGCTTTGAGAATAAAAACACGAGAAGGAGAACTTATAGGTCTAAGAGAGAGGTACTGATGGATTGAGGTAAGAATAAACAGTAAAGAATGGGGACAAAATGCAAGTGTAAATGTGGACATAAACGGAAAAAAAAAAGATGAGAGGGCAAGAGGTAGAGGTTTGGAGAATGTAGATGGATTCATTTGGGAGAATAGGAATTAGTCAAAAGACTTTATGCATAAAAAGTAAAGTTACTTATTATTTATTATGTGTTACTAATAAAGAGTTGAATTGGATTAAGTAGACACAACCTTTGAATTTATTCATTCCTTCAATAAATATTTCCTGAGTGCGATTATATGCCAGCTCTGTGGTAGGCACTAGGAATAAGTGAAGAATGTAGTCATGATTCTTGTCCTCATGGGGTTTAAAACTTGAGGGGGCCTTACTGATTATTCTTTTTTTGCCTCCCTTGCCTGTCACCTTCCTCATCTCCTAGAATCTCCACCTTGCTTTGAATGCTGCTAATAGCATCCTCTGGGCTTGTAAGCTGGCTTCTGTTTGCCATTAGTCAAGAGAACCACCAGAGGAACTCAGAAGGCATGAGGAAAAAGAAAGCAGGGTATGAGTTTCCTGATCCTTTCCTCAACTGTGTTCTTTTAATGCATTTCATCATGGCTACAGTTATTATAGTTGCTTTGGGGGGCCCCAGCCCTCTCCATATCTCCAGCTGTCCCTGGTTCCCATGACACCATCTCCTCCTCCTTCATTTTTGCTTAAGTGTGAAATGTCTTCATGTTATCACTAGTCTATAAATGCTTCAGTTTCTTTTCTTGGTTCTCTTAACCTTGCTCATTGATCTTCAACTTGTGCCTTTACTAGACTCTTTTGAACCATAAGGGTTTGATGTTTCTACCTGGATTTCTGACTGATCTAAAGGAGGAAAAATTAGAGAAACTCCTATGTAAATAATTTAATAATTTAAAACTGTATTAAGGGTATGATGAAAAAATACAAATATTTAGATAGACAATAATGAATTACATAAAATAGTCAGAGAAGGCATCTTTGGAAGGTGATTAAGTTGAGGCCAGAAGGTAAGGGGAAGCTACCATGGAAAGAGTGTTCCCCATAGAGGAAACAGAAAATGTAAAGGCCATGAGATAACAAAGGTTTTGGCATCCTCTATGCTAGAATTTGGTTATAATACTCTAGGACAAGCATTTGATTAAAACATTATGTGGACTGGGGTGTCTGGGTGGCTCAGTCAGTTAGGCTTCTACCTTCAGCTCAGGTCACAATCTTGGGGTCCTGGGATCAAACCTTGTGCAGGGCTCCCCACTCAGCTTCTCTCTCACCGTACCACTCCCCTTTGTGCGCTCATTCTCTCTCTTTTTCTCAAGTACATACATAAAATCTTAAAACAAAACAAAACAGAAACCAAAAAACAAAGCATTATGTGGGCAGAGAAGGGGGGAAATCAGTTTGAGTGGCGAAGTCCTGACTGGTATCTAGTGACAGATAATAAGTTTATGGACAGGCAAAGGTCCACCATGTTAAAGTGGGAAGCAGCTCAGGTGATCTGTGGGAACTAAGCAGATGCTCAGGTATTAATTTGAAATTGTTGTGATTATGTTGGTATGCAATGAGGATCTATCCCATGTGATAATGTAGTCTAAGAGAATAAGCACATATAAAGATGTTATTTTTTAAATTTTGTTTACTTTCATCAGTGGTAGTTTAGTCTTTAGGTAGAGTTGTATCTCTTCATAGCATGTTTTCCTTTTCTTTTCTCCCTTTTTAAAAAATTTTATTTATTTATTTGAGAGACAGAATAAGCCAGAAAGAGAACACAAGTCGGGGGAGGGGCAAAGTGAGAGGGGGAAGCAGATTCTCTGCTAAACAGGGAGCCTGATGCAGGGCTGGATCCCAAGACCTCAAGATCACGACCTGAGCAGGTGTTTAACCTAGTAAGCCACCCAGGCGCCCCATGTATTTTCTTCAGAATTATGACACTTCATAAAAAGAAAATCAAATGAGCAACAGAAACTTTCTTGACAGGTTGTGTGTCTTTATATCCCCACCCCCTTTTTAAAATACTTATGCTGGGGGGATATGAAGAGAAGGAGTAACAAAAGAGTGGAAAGTTGAAGAAAATAAAGTATTAAAATAATATAATTTGGGGCACCTGGGTGGCTCAGTGGGTTAAGCCTCTGCCTTCAGCTCAGGTCATGATCTCAGGGTCCTGGAATCGAGCCCCACATCGGGCTCTCTGCTCAGCAGGGAGCCTGCTTCCTCCTTTCTCTCTCTGCCTGCCTCTCTGCCTACTTGTGATCTCTGTCTGTCAAATAAATAGATAAAATCTTAAAAAAAAAAGTTCTATAAAATAATATAATTTGACTGTTGGATTCCACCTAGAATGAAGGGGACTTTAAAGATCAATTTACTAAACATATATCAAGAATTCTAAAAGCAAACACAACTAACTTATTAAATAAGCTTGCCTGGGGAAGTATCCCAGATTGTTTTTTTCTCTATAAATCCATTTCTGTAATTTGTTTTATAATATGACCTTCTGTTAGTGCATATTCTGGCATTTAAGAATTATTTAACTGCAGGATGTATGAAAACCTTTGGCATCAAGCCAAAACATATTATTTTTGTATTTATCAGAATTGAAATGATTACTCAGGACATTTTCAGGCATATCTGATGCCACCATATAGACAAATGGTCAAAAATAAGACTTTTAAGGCATGATTTAATCATGTGAATTTAACCAATATCTTTGGGTTTGGAAGGTTTCCTTAGGTATCAGCCCAAATACCTCCTAGATGAATTTTAAGTTCTTGAAATATATTTCTACTTATAGACATATTTTGCTTAAAAATGCCACATGATAACATTTCATTTTTAGTCTATTATGATCATTTCTACTTAGATTTATTTTTTTAAAAGATTTATTTATTTTAGAGAGAGAGAGAGAATGAACAGGAGGGGCATTGGGAGAGAGAATCTCAAGCAGACTCCATGCTGAGTGTGGAGACCAATGCAGAGCTCCATATCACCACTCTGAGATATTGAACAGAAACCAGGAGATGGATGCTTAACTGACTGCTCTACCCAGGCAGCCCACTTCTACTTTGATGAAATAGGATTCCACATGTATGTATTTAATTTCAATCCATTTTGAAATTAAAAGAAGAAACCATGGTTTTTAACTACATTTGCACGCTCAACCTCTTCTTACTAGCTGAATTTTTTATATTTGCTAATATTTTCCTCAACCCTAGGCTAAACCTACTTTAAGCACATTTATATAGCATGTTTCATCTTCAAGTGCTTTATAGCTAGCTCACCACAAGTTAAGTTAAATGATTAGTAACTCTGACAGAGATGCATTTATGCAAATTATAATCATAGAGTCTAGAAAGGACCTTGAGGTCTCATCACTCTAAAGAAAAGCCAAAAACAAAACAAAACAACAACACCCTGTTTAAAATAAATCATAATACTCGAATCAAATATAATCAAAATCCCACTCCTGCATCTATGCTCAATACTCATAAACATCATTGACAAGTGATTATGTATCATAGGATTTAAACCCTCAGAAATAAGATCATAAAGTATAGCAGTCATTATAGTGTGAAATAAATCATCTGTTTGATTTGGAGAATGATTGCATGTTATACACATTGACAGCTGGTGCTATTATGTTAACATTCTTTCAGGGGATACTAAGGTAATCAATTGGTTTACTGCAACTATCATCTTTATGATTTTTAGGCTGTTGTCTCATTATATCTTATCAGAATCTATATCCTTTGCATGAAGAGCAGATAGCACCTTATATTTTTATCCATTTTTTATTATTACTAAATAAAATTTAAGAACGATATTGGAAATTTAAGACATATAGGCAAAGAAATGTGAAGTTCTTCTTTTATTTAAACAAGTTTCCTTTATGTTCAAGTAGCAAAACTATATATATATTATTGTTCATAGAAACTACTAGAACGATCATTATAATTGGTTACTTCATCACTTCCCAACCCCTCCCCTTTTTAATGAATAGCCTCCAAGGAGCTTCTGGGGAAATGAAATCTAACAAAGTAAGTGATCCAAAAAAAGACATGTCACATTTTAATAAACAATTGTGTCTAATTATGGAGAATATGTACTTACTTGCCAAGTGCAAAGCATTCCATCTTAACAGTTGTTCCCTTAGCAGCTGTAACTGTGAAAGGAAAATGGACCTCAATTTTCGGCTCATATTCTCCCATCACACCTGGGAAATAAAGAACATTCTTTAAGCATAAAATGAATGTCACAATTTCCTTCCAATTCTGGAAATATTACATTGAAAAGCACTGTGGTTTGGTTGTTAATGTCTCTTTGATGACTGCTAAATTTTTGATGCACTGAAATAAGAAATATCCCAGTTTTCATTTAAGGATTGGATTGCATGTATGTTCAATACCATTTTAAATAATAATAACTGAAAATGTTAGTCAACACTGTTAGTTTAATTACCGATTACATTCCAGGGGAAACAAATAAATATGAACATTTCCCATGGGAAGTAATTGGTTTTTTTCCTACGTAAGTAAAAACTTTCTTTATCACTGTCATATAAATGAATACTTATTAATTAAGTCAACATTCATTTATTGAATGTCTATAATATTCAAACATTTTGCAGGCATTATGGGAGTTACAAAGATAAATCAGTCATGGACTGTTCTCTCAAGCACTCAGTAAGTGTATTTTTAGAGAAAGAAATGACATATACTCAAATATGGAAGAATAGTTATATATAAAAAGACTGTAAACAAAAATAGGAAGTTATGAGTGTCATGAAATTAAGTATTATGTACATTTGGGGCACGTACAGGAATAGTTAGGATTTGAGTAAGTAGTAAAATGAGAGGAGAAAAAGTAAATACAATTGTAAGAATAAAGACAAAATGAGGGGAAACTATAAGAAGTAGGAATATCAGCTTTTCTGGCACATTGATATGTGAAGGGAAATGATACTAGGCAAATTTGGAAATATAAACGGAATGCAAAAAAAAAAGAGGCCTTGATTATCAGAGTAAGATATTCAGACATTAATCTATAAATAATTTGGACTACTGAGGTTTTGAATAAGGGGATGGTATTTTTGCTGAGATGTATATACTGACATTGGAGCAGAGACCATTAAATCAATTACATTATTTCAATAAAGCCACATAGAAAGAATAAAAGCCCAGACTTGAAATATGGTGGTGAAGAAAAGACAAGAGGCACTACATGAAAAAAAAAGAAACCCACAAAACTGAAACAAGAAAGAATTGAGATTGGCACTCAGTGGGGGGAGGGGGTTTGCTGAGGACAAGTGTGCGATCCTCTTTAATAATGACATTAAGATTTTCAGCTTCAGAGCTGGGTGATGTGAATGAAAGGAAAAAGAACATAGCTACAGTAGAAAAGCAGATGACTTTCATTTTAGGAGTACTGAGTTTCATATCTACAAGATCATCAGAAGAAAGAATCTGACCAGTTAACACAATGAAGGAATGAAGCTCTAAATGAGTTCTGGACAGGTGATAGACACTTAATGTCATCATTTAGAGGTGGTGTTTGAAGCTGTGAGATTGTTTAAAAAGGTCTCAGGAAAAAAAGGAACCTGAATCTCCAAAGCTGCAGTAATCTGTTTTGATTTCTTCTGTTACCATAAGTAAAAATTCCCTTTAGAATCCTCTTTTATGCTAATACTTTTTATTATGTTTTTAAAGAGCATCCTGTAAAAAAATAAATAAAATACATAAAAGAGTTCTGTAAGTGTACATTTCAGGCTCTTCAATATCTGAATCTGCCTCTCCATTATATCAAAGTATTAATGATATTATTGGCTAATAGTTAAACCCTTCTCTTCTCTTTCACATAATATTTGTTAAGTGCAAAAAATTCTTTTACAGCTTTCATCCTTAAGAATAACTAAAAAGATAGGCATTTCTGGGAGAATTTGGGAAGTGATTTTGTCCAGGTAGGGCCTTCTCGTGTTTCTCAAATGAGTCCCATATGGCCGAAGACATTGTTAAGCTTCACTTCAGGGCCCAAAAAGTTTGCTAATATTTCAACTAGATATTAAAAGTAAAATTAGAAAGTTTTTGTAAGAGGTTTCAAATTATATTATCTAATTTGAGCTGCAGTATAAGAAACAACTGGTTCTTTCTAATTTTACTGTAATGGTGATGATATAAGGACAGATGAGAAATCTATTTAGATGTTTTTTTTTTTTTAACAATTGAATACATTCTGTAATTAAGTTTAGCTCTCTATTTCATGGGATAATTATGTTAGAATTGAAGTCCACCTTAGCGAATATAATTCACCTCCCCCCCTTTTTTTAGAGAAAGTTAAAATTCAAAGAAGTCAGGTAACTGGCTCAAGATCCTATAGAATGCTGTTGATGGAAATGGGCAAAAAAGGGAATTTTCTGACCTTGGGTCTTTACTAGCCATTTTCTTGACATCACTCTGTTGAGGAATTTTAATCACAGAGTGTAACAGAGCAGGCACATCACATGTACTACATCAATCACTGACTGTCTGCCATGGTACTTGGTTTATTTCAGCTCCAATTTTTAATATTTCAAGTCATATGTAGCTTAGCTTGTAATCTCTTTTATTAGATTGGGTTTGGTGATAAAAGGAAAGAAACAATGCTATAAAGCACATAGTTAAGTACAAAAGATGAGGCTAATCTCTTTAGTCAAGATAGTTTCTTTATTTTTATTTTATTTTGTTTCATTTTGTTTTGTTTCATTTATTTATTTTTGTCTCCCAGGAGACACTGCAATGTGTCTTCATCTCTTTCCCCATACCTGTCTTTTCTGGGACAGTAGGTTATCCTGCTGGAATTTCATGCCAATAGAAAATGACCCCAACCTACCTTAATTCTTAAAAAACAGAAGTCTTCCAGTTGAGAGAACATTGCTCTCCTTTTATGTCTTCATGGTTGTTGATTTTTTAAAATTTATCCCAATTACTTACAAAGAGTTAGGGTGTTTTTTTCTAAGTAGAGTACAACTTAGAGCAGTGTTTCTCCAAGTGCATTGTAGAATAAAGAGCCAATGACATCCAAAAAATCTGAAAAATTTACAAAAATTTCAGTCTGCAGGGTTCAACTGCAAAACTAGTGATGATCTTTGAAGGTGGGTCTACAGAGTCTATATTTTAATAGTAGTTGAGTTTCAATAGATGTTTCATTTGTAATTTTTTTTAACTGTCTTTAGCAACCTGAATATAAATATATAGTATTGTGCTATGTAAGCCCCTTGGTAAGGAGATGAAAGTCCAAATAAATAATAAAAACATTAAATACTAATAATGATACTGACAAAGATGAAAGAGGGAAGAAAGGAAATGAATAAATAGTTCACTCTGTGCCTATTAACATAGTGCTATGTGTGAGACACATCACTATACTCATCTTTTCGGGACATATTAGATATTAACTTGTGATTTGTAGATAGGTGATGCAAATCCCAGTTCCAGCCCTGGCTCTCTTGGAACATTGAGGCAATCATAGAATCCCTCTGGATCCATTTTCTCATGTATAATGAGTTAATATTATGGATGGTTTAGAAATTAAAATATTGTACATTAATATATTCTTTTTAATTTACTGTATTCAAATAAATTACCAGTTATAATCTTTGGAAATGTTCATCATTTAGAAAAGTGTCCAGATGCCTTCTTTTCAATTCCAAAATGAGTCCCTGATAAGAAACAATTTCACAAGCCTAGATAGATAGACAACATGTTGTTTTCTCACCTCAAAAAGTGCATATTATCTTGAATCATAGTTTCTCAAGATGAGTCATTGTTATATAAAGAAAGGGATTGAAGGAGTGCCTGACAAGAGGAAATAAGTAATTCGTGTTATCTTCAAATAAATGTACCATTATGAATAGTGTTTATTTAAGGAGATTGAGAAGTACTAGAGGGGTTTATTAGAAGATGATTTTCATTACTCATATATATTCTAAAAATCAGAGAAACCGATAGACTTTTTTTTCCCTTTTCCTAAGCATCCAGGATAAATTGATCAAGGGGCTGCCTCACACTGTAATTGCTTTCCTCTGATTACTGAATTTTAAGATGTATTTTGTTCTGTTCTTGACCCTGTGATTTAGGGAAATATATACATCTCTCTCTATCACAATCTGAAGGTTCAGCCCATGTACATCAATAACTTGGAAAAATAACTTATAAAAGTAAAGTTTAAAGAAAGCAGCTATATATATATATTTTTTTTCTGAACAAAACTATAAGCTCTCTAGCATTAAAACAATAGGATAGATCAAATTTGAAAATTTTAACAAAAGATTGAATATTCACTTTGAGAAATATTTTTAAAAGTTTTCCTTTTTTTAAAAGAAAGTTTTCCATTTTTAGGAAATTGAATGTTTGCTTTTTTATAAATTTTGATTCACAAACAAAATTACAGAAATGTTTCTGTAAATATATCTATATAACCAAAAATATATATAGTTCTGTAATAAGTCTATATTTATAACTCTTATAGGTGATATTCTTACTAGTTTTCTTTGACTTTGTGCATTGTAAGTGTGTGTGTCTGTATGTGTGCCTGAGTGCCTATGTGTATGCCTTTCAAATATGAAAAAAGAAATTTGGTTACTGCTAAAAATTTTGGTAACTTGATTGTTATGAGATGCCACCAAAACCTGTGAGTGTAACAATCGATCAGCTTTTGAATGAACTAGGGTCCTCATTGCTACAGCCATGGACCCTTCTCTGAAAGCTGGTTTGACTGGTCCCAGTAATAATGGGCAAACTACTGTACTGACTTGCAAGGAAACTAAATAAAAATAAAAAGATAATGATTACAAATGGGATATATTAATATCCAATTCAATAAATAAATGCTTCGAAGATCTCTAAATAATTCTGTGGGGCTCTCCCACCCTAATCAGAGTGGGTTCTTTTCAATTGTGATTTAAGTAGAAGCTATACTTTCTGTTTGATTCATTCAAATATTTATATCTATCAGAATGTATTTTTCCATTAAAAAGATAAAGTAAAATACCTCAGAAATATGGTGGACTTTCTTCACTGTGTTAAGGACATTAACCATAAATTGTTATATCCACAGTCCTTTCTATAAGAAACTAAAAGCAGTAAGATACAAATAAGATAAAGGTAGGCTAAATTATAAGGAGGCAGTTTTGACACACACCATTTGGAAGGTAAAGAGGATCTATTCAAATCAGAAGGA